GTCGACAAGAGACTCCCCAAGCCTACTACCACCGCTTTCGACAAGCCTACTTAGGTGCACATAACAAACCTGAACTTGAAGAGGATGTGAACTTCAAAACCTTCTTCCTGAGAAACCTGCACCCCGGATTGAGTCATCATCTTGGCATCATGGCCTGCCCAGGCACAATGACAATTCAACAGCTACGTGACCTGACACACAAGGCCTACATCAAACAAAAGATGAACTCAAAGAAAGGTTTGAAAACATCCACAGTGTCAAACTCCATCAGCCAAGACACAAGCCTTGCACTGGAAGACACCCAGTGGCATGACAATACCACAGTCCTTCGTAAGGAGCACAGAGAACGTGACTCCCATGTCGCTGACACCTACTACACTAACCGCATGGAAATGCCATGGGACCAGCCACGCTTCTCAAGTAACCCACAAGAAGGAAACCACTGGAAACCTAACTGGACATCCAAAAGCCATCAACCAAGGCATCCAAAAGCACTCCATGTGGGTACTCAACAACGAAACCCACCTTGGCACCACTCAGTTAAACACAGCACTGAGTATGCCCAAGAACCAGACAGTTTACCCTCAGAAGACACGGAGCAACTAATGAGGCAACTGAAAGTTTTCATCGGAAATGAAGTAAACATGGATGACGAACAGGATGGCGATGGAACGGAAGACCACCGTTTCATCTGATACACCTTCATAATGAACATGAAGACCACTTGCTCTACAACAACACAGAACAAAGTGGCCTCTCACAGTCAACCACTGACAAACACCCAGAGGTACCAGAAAACACCATCCTGGCTACCCATCACTCATAAAGAAACCACCAAACGAGCTCCAAACTCAAGAACCACGTGTGTGCTACAGCAACAACAGTATGCACAGAAGGTCAGAAAGTCTGTCACAACCAGAAGGCATCATCGGAGGAATGCAACAACGGAGACCAAGTTTCGCACTACATCTTCACACATCCGTGCCAAACTACCTCCCAATGTCTGCCAGAGAACTTCCTGCCTTACTGGATTGACCCCCAGCAGATCACAGAAGAGCCCTTTTCCAAGGCAAAGATGCAACAAGCTCATCAAAGCTAAGCCATCAAGCAAAAGGGGGGGAGCAAAACAGACTGAGACAGATCTGACCATACATACATACATACATGCACTACACGACACCCCTAACATACCCACTTACATACAGAAGTTAACCACCTCTACCGTGCAAAACATTCAACAAATATGTTTTCCCCCACAGGTAGAAACTAACTTCAGAATCTAGCTTAACAACTTAGCTACACTTACCATAGGAAACATGGTAACTACCCATCCAACAAGTACACCTGAGAACACCTCTCACTACATCATGATACCTGACACCTTAGCTGCGCAACCGTAGTTATAAATCATATCAGGAACACTCAACTGCTTTGTTTTGTTTTACTTCTTCCTTCCTTTCCTTTTTCTTTTATTAGGTAAAATGCCTGTCCACCCCATAAGGGTCAAGGTCACAATAATAGGATTGACACACCACTCCTATATTTGTAAGTCACCTTAAAACGAATGTGAGCCAGAGAACTCCCTGCATCATTCGTATCACAAATTGAAAGGTAAATTGGTCTAAACCTAGAACAATTTAGAAGAGAATAAAACAAACAAATCAAATTTAGTCACAAAGTTGATCAATTACCGTACCAAAACAAACTAGAATAACGGTCCTAAAATTGAACTAAACTTTATTCAACGTGATTGACTATTTTGAGAGAGTGAACCTGTTTAGGCCTAGATAATCTAATGCCCTGCACCAGTAAAGTGACCAGTCATGGAGGTGTTGTCTTGTTGTTTGCTGTGTGTGTTTGCTTCCTCTACCCGTTTCTCCAGCGTTCAATGATGTCTTCTCCTCAACCCATCATCGACCGAAGGGGGGATATGTAGCAACATTGAGAATGTACCAAACACGAGGGAAGCGTTCGTACATAATCAAACACAAGGGGCTGCATATTCCAAATTATCCCTGAGGCTATGAGCCAAGAAGACCTTTTGTTGCTTAACTAAAGGAAGAATGTTGTCAATGTTTTATAATTTGGCAAGAACAGATCTGTTCAGAAATATTGAAACAAGAGGCCCTAACAAGGAGTCACCTGACCCCTGCGACTAAACAGACTGAACCATTCAGGATCCCGAGCTAGTTTTCCCCTCATCAATTATTATAACTCCTTAAGGCTGAAAAAGTGGACTTGCATACAAAATACCCTTTGTCTTGAAGACAATTATTGCGAACTGAACCCTCACGTGGTAAACACCACGGATGCGACGCTGACCATAAGGATACACACACACACATAAGGACTTTCCTCCAATTCTCCAATACCAATAAAACTCATCCCAGGACAATTCTCGATGGACTTTGATTATATGTTGTTTCTACAATATATGTGTGTGTCTCTCATATGCTTAAATGCCATACAAGTCATGTAATTGTTTTGAATATTAGAGATACTGGAATGAAAGTGTCGTGTTTCCTATCATTATGCTCGTATGTTTTTAATTCAAAAGATGGCTTGATTGAAATCTGTGTAAAAATGTTTATGTTCTTATAATAGTAATAATGTCTAAACTGTTGCCTCTTGTTCTCTCTGCTAAGGCCTGCAGAACAATGAGACCACAGATGACACATGATTCGCGATGAGAGAAGGGGAGGGGGGGTAGAATAGACCCCCTTTTCAAATAACCATATAGTATCTTATTGTCCGAATTCCAAATTCCTCCTGGAGGCGGGACAAACATTTTGACTTTAAAACCTTAGACCCGAACACAGAAGCTCTCTCTGAACGCTCTGGTCTTGCTCTCTTGTGATCCTCTCTCTTGTGATGCGCTCTTGCGCTCTTGTGATGCGCTCTGAACGCTCTCGGGAAAAGCTCTCTGGACTCGCTCTCTAAGCTCTTGTGATGCCCGACGCCGGGTGGAGCCGACGATGGTTGTAACCATGTAGACGCAGAGACAAATGACCCAAATCAAGATATGGGTTAAAACAGATTTAATTGAAGCCATCTCGTCTCACTTTCCTTTCTTTTCTTAGTTTGTTTCTTTTCCGTTAAAAGTCTCGGTTCTAAGTTAAGTTTTGCTGCAAAGTTTCGTTTTAACGTTTCAACTGCAAAACCAGCTTTCAACTTCAAAGACTTTCATTCATCCGCGCCAACACACCACGTGATTGGCCGCCCCAAGACATCTATCCAGGCACGAGACAGCCAGCCAACCAACGGACCGGGAAACCCCCTTTACGACAAAAAGGAGAATCCCAAAAGCAACGCAAAGGACAAGCAAGTAACGCCTCCAGACTCTTAACTGGTGTTTAATATAAAATTGAATCACCCGCCTAAGAAACGATAAAAGGGTGAAATTAATTATTGATTCTTCGTTCAGGTTGTGTCTTATAAGTGCATAGAATCTTGGGAATCTCACCATCTAACTCCTAAAACTCATTCTTCCTCACTCTCTGTCTTTCTTCAACTTGTATGAATGCGTGTGCGTGTGTTTGTGTTAGATATTTGTTTTGTGTGTTAGCCATAGGCTTATAATCAATAAAGTATTGTTTGTATTTGAAAAGAGAAGCATTACTTGTGATATGTGCTTACCGATTTATTGTCTTGAACTTCGATCTAAGTTACCTATGCTTTGACCCTTGATTTATTTCTTAATTTAGCTGTTAGCTGGGAATCAGTCTTTCTTGGCCAAGAAGATATTATATTTCCTAGAATTAATAATTGTTTATGCTTTCCGTTCATTGGATGAACTGATAAACTGATCATATTATTGATTTTGCTACAGTAAATTCTGAAGATAATTCAATTATTAATTATTGATCATAATCTGTTATGAATAATAATTAATTATATTTATACGTGCGTACTATCGCTACAATTAACATTATAAACCTTCGTCCAAAGAAAGAAAGAAAGAAAATCATTTCTCAAAGAGTTCCAATATATAGCATAGTAACTTTTTTTTCTTTGAAAAAGAGTGTGTATATCTCTATTATTATTTTTGGAGCATTGGAGATTATTGACAATAAAAAAAGAAATAATAAAAATATCAAATGAGGTCAATAAAAAAACAATATTCATAATCTTATTTCTTCTCCATTGTATAATAGCAAGAGGTTTTTATTCACATAAAAATGATACAATACAATATGCAAAAATGGTTACATATAATAGGCCTACATAAATGAATATTTACAGAAACAGCTGACAAGGTAGCATCTCAAAACATACAGAAAGGTTTTGGGTCATTTCATCTCATATTCATACAGTAGAAGTTAAGGAAGACTAAACTATTGTCTCTATTAATTTAATGGTGAAACTCAGCAATAATACTTACTCAGAAAAACAATAATAAAAAAAAAGAGTAAAGACCACAGCTTTCTGTCCGGCATTTTCTTTATTGAATCATGACATTTGGGTGTGATGAATCATTAGGGCTTGGCTTGGCCATTATTTAACAGGCAAAAAGGCTTAAGTTTATGTCACTCCAATGCCAATGAGTCATGCTACTTGCTATAATGGGTTCAGAGTTTGGCTGGTTAGCAGAAATTGACATTAACTAACAGCCACAGAAGGAAACTTTTAAATCTTCAGAGCTGTTGCTCAGCAGATACAAATGCTCTCAGCCGCGGTGCTGAATCTCCAGACTTGCTTTTAGCTAAATCCTTATACTCATACCGGTACTCATATATACTCATATACTTATATATATATATATATATATATATATATATATATATATAACGTTTTCATGTCAAAAATTTACATTTATTTAATTGTACTAGTAGTAAATATAAACACTTACACAACGCTCTGTAAAAGAGGTCATTTTAATAGCATTGGGAAAAAAACACACATATTGCTCTGTTTCCTTTGTGGCTGCAGTCATTCTCAGAATAAAATGCATCTTCAGAGTTTAACATCCTCCCAATCTACAGCTGAACAAGAAACATAAAGGAAGTGAGTCACATAATCTTTATTACAATTTTAATGGAACCTACACTTTATCAGAGGAGGCAGCACAGTACAAAAATACCAATAAAAACGTTTTACAAAAATTACATTAGGACAAGACATCCTGTCATGATGTTCCTCTTCTTAAATCTCAAAAAACAGATTAATAAAAACATAAACAAAGCTCAATTTGATGTTACAGTATTACATGTTAAGAGTATTTATAAAGAAAGAAAAATAAAGAAAGAGGATATGGAGTCTGAAAACATGTTTTCAGTTCCTTTTTTGTAACACTAAACCCAGACAACTCGGGATGATTCACTGTCATTTTTACAACCACCAGGAAAAAAAAAGCAGATTTGCTGATGTAACAAAATTTTGTAAAAAATGTATGACAAAGTCTCCTAAATCAAATGGATTTTAAAATAAACGTGCTGATGTATTAGACAATGCAATGCTTTTAAAAATGAGAACATGGAAAGGTTCGGTTTTAATATCACTCAGACTATACAAACTGAAATCGGGGTTCCTTTCCAATTCCAAATAAAAACAACCATCACTTCTTCTCTTGTTAATGTCACTTGCTCTCTTTTCAGGCCATGACAGAGAAGTACGAGGTATTCTCACTGTCAACTGAGCTGAATGATCCAGTAGGCCTGCGGTTGGTTGACCCCCGACCGTTTGCCCATCCTGCTAATCCGAGGCAGCCCTGGGGTCCTAAAGCAGCCTTGCACATATGGGCGAGCTCACGACGGAACTTTACCCCCACAAGGCCGTAGAGTAGTGGATTTAAAGCGCAATGTGCCAGCCCCAGGCTTTCAGTCACCAGAATGCCCACATCCAGCACCTTGTTCAGCCCACAGCTTTTCGCAATGACCCCGAGCGTCTGCAGGCTGTCGGTAAGCCGCAGGGCATTATAAGGTGCCCAACTGACCACAAACACAATAACCAATGAGACGATGAGCCTCAGAGAGCGCCGTTTCTGCCTGCGCGTGGCGTGACACAGTGCTTTGAAAATGCGAAGGTAGCAATACAGCATGACCAGTAGGGGAATTACGAATCCAAGAATCAAGCTAACCAGCTGCATGCCGATCTGCCATTGCTGGAAGCTCTCTTGTGAATACACTATCTGGCACATCCACCTATTCATTCCATATATTTCCACCACTTCCCGGTAGAGCATGTCCACCATGGCCAATCCAAAGCAGACGACCCAGATGATGGCGCAGGCCAGCTGAGCGTGGCAGGTCTTGCGTCTCCAGCTGATATTGATGGCATGTACGATGGCCAAGTATCGGTCAAAGCTGATGCAGGCCAGGAATAGCACGCCACAATAGACATTCAGCGAGAACACCGTTCCAGCTAATTTACACATGAACACGCCAAACACCCATCCGTTGATCCACTCGACAGCGAAAAATGGCAACGTGACAGCCAGAAGGAGGTCAGAGATGGCTAAATGGAGCAGGAAGGTGTCTGTCAGTGAGAAGGAGCAGGGACTGTGTCGAGACTGCCGATAGCGGCGGATCACACACAGCACTAGAACGTTACCAACTAGCGCCAGGATAAAAACTAGGATGTAAGCTATAGGGGCAAAGCGACCAAGAAACTCCCATGTTTCCTTCAGACTGCAGGGGGCAGCAACGGCATCACCATGGACATCGTCTCCATTGAAAGAACTGTTTTCGTAGTCATAATCTGTGTACTGTATAACAGAGCAAAGGACTTTTCAATATTTTGTTATTTTCCTAATTACTTGCTAGTTTTTTGATGCCAACTATCACTTACCCAATAGTTGTCTGTGGATGCTGTGATGTTCTTCATGATGTTCTTCAGAGAAGTGAGACATGCAAGTAAAACAGTGGGCACGAGATTCACTCGTCTCTCACGCTATCTTGTATATGTCTCTCCTTTCTTTTGGGAAAATGTCAGTAGAGAAAAAAAGAGGGATAGAGAGTGAGAAGTCAGACCACAGAAACTGAATCCTACACTTTTGTATAACCACTGCAAACGGGAACTGAAGGCTGAATCAACAGAGAAATAAAACTCTTTTGATTACAAATAAACATTGAAATCCCCAATTTGCTGAGGGCAGACATAATCAAAAACTTTCTCGAAAACATCTGGCAATTTCGTAAACTAAAAACAAAATTATAATAATGGAAAGTTGGTTGTGACAGGTTCGTAAACCTGAATAAAAAAAAAAAATGTTATGAAAAATGTTGGGTAATTTTATGGTGCAAAAGCGGGAATAGTGGAGTACAACTAGAGGGAACTGAAAGTGCTGAAAATTAACATTGCATAAGTTTGCCATATGCAATGAAACATAATATACAATTATGAAAAATAATATTTTTACCATTATGTGCCATTAACATATGTATTTTATATTGTATTTTTGGAAGAAGTGAAGTTTGAAGGAAAAAAAGAGTCATTAAAAGAGCTAGAGTTTTGAGTCATTAAAAGACAAGGAATTGATTACTTGAATCAAGACTGAATGAAAAATAGAGAAAATATTCGTATTTGTTGCAATTCATATCAAAACCAAAAGATTTTCATACTGCAGTGAATCTTTTGTGTGTGTATATATATTTAATTAAAAAATATTTAACAACATATAAAATACGTACGAAACATTTTCAAATATTCATATAAAATAAACACTAATCTATTTTTTAAAGACTGAGTTGTATCAGAGTAACAGTAGAAGTAGAAGTCTCGTACCTGTCCTCTCTGTGCTGTCTATTCACGGGTTGTAGATCAGATGGTGGTCTGATTACTTCTGAAAATGTTCAGGAAACACGTTTATCTTAGTGCTTCCTGACTTTTTTCTCTCTTCCCTTTTTGCTCTTTCCACAAAAACATAACATACTTTTTAAACATCAAATATGTAATATATATTAAAAGTGCCTGTAAAAGCATTTTTTGGTTACATTTTTTTCTCTTTTACTGCTCAGTTATATAATTTTGTTTCCCTTTAATGATATTCTTATTAGTCTTTCCTGCTAATAAACAGTAAGCTGATGCTCTCCGTCTGTTCTAAATCTTTCAGTCTTCTGTGTGTCATTGTCTGCCAGTCTTCAGTCCTCCAGCCAATTCTCTTCACTACCTGCAAAAGATAAGACTTGATGCATTGTAAAGCCCGGCTAGATCGGCCCAAAGTCCGGCATCCGATCAGCGGGTGAAGGTCTCTGCGTGTTACTGTCTTTTCTCGTGGCAAAGTATTTTTGATTAAATGCAATACATTTCTCATACTGTATTTATTCTCTCGTTATTTCATCTGACTCCACAAATGAAAAGGTTTTTTAATAATATCTTCAATTCAAGACATCATTTGAATTGATGTCTTTTGACTTTATAAAATTAATCTCTTAAACCATCTGGTTCAGCCAGTGCTGTAGTTGTTCACATGTTTAGTGGAGTTAGTGCAATTTTTCACAGCAGATGTGTGTTGACACGTTCTCAGAATGTTAACCACATCCTACACATAGGCCCAATATAAATGCGAAAGAGTTAAGCATAGCAGCCAGATTTTTACTATAACAGTATAGGCTGTATAGGCTATGATCTCTATTTTTAACAAAAAAATAAATAAAAATACAGCATCTGCTCTCAACAGAATTAAATATTCCACTTCCAAAATGATGAACTGAGGTGAAAACAAAAATATACATATATTTCTATTTCATATTCAATTGGAGTTTTCAAAATTGTGGTTTAAATTCAGTTCACAACCTCTACCAATGTGCAGCTAAAACCAGAAGAGTGTTTTTTTTTTAGGTTTTAAGGGCTGTCATTAATTAGGCAAATTAGCCTAATATTTTCAATTTAATGTGTTAAAAGTATTTTACCCAATTAACACATCATTTGGAACAGTTGGTATATCATCACACTGATATCACTGTAAAAAAAAAATCGTAAAATAACGGTAAAAAGACTGGCAGCAAAGTTGCCAACCACTTACCGTCAAATTACAGTAAAAAAACGTAAATTATTTTACGGAAAAATTTTTGTTTTTTGAAAACGGATATTTACCGTAATGATGTTCTGTATTTTTACAGTCATACTGCTGTAAAAAAAAATCTCATAAAAAAATATTATGTTTTTATGAGTTGAATGTTAGACGAATGTATAAATCTGTAAAAAAAATTAAAAATACTGCAGAAATACCTTAAAATTACATAATTAAACCAAAGAATTCTGTTTTATATATATATATACGATCAAACACCTTAACTGTAAAAGAAATCCCATAAAAAAGTGTCAATGACTGTCAGCAATGGCTGCCATACAAAAACCATCAAATTAATGTAAAATATCCTAATTTAAATAAGTGCAAAAGACTTTTACAGAAATCTTCATTGTGCTTTTTAACAGAAACACAGTTATTTCACATATATTTCCTGAGTTTTTCACTAAAAAACATGCAGTTAACTACATGCATGATTTGATGCGACTAAACGTCACTGCATCAGCTACACAGTTACTGTCTGTTAAATAAAGCAACACACAGCAATTCATCAGTGTTTCTCTGCTTATCCTGGACTGAAGCACAGGCTCTACTTTTCAACACAATGGTGACACACAAAACACACCATAGCCTACAGAAACACTTTAAATCCCAACAGAACATTAAATACTAACAGATCTCTCAAGATCTCCGCATCCTCACTTATTACTAGAGGTCGACCGATTCATCGGTTTGCCGATATATAGGTACAAAAATCCACACCGATAGTTCCCTTTCGTTCGGGAACTTCTACGTCTCGTCGGAGGAGTTTCCAACGAATTGGGATCACACTAGGGAGACCAGTTGCCTTCGAGTGAATTAAAACGAGCCAATGAATATTGGCATGCAGGACTTGCATTCCGCGCCCCGCATGCCAGTGCGGGTATAAAGCAGAAGCGAGCGCACACACATATGCTTTTAGCTTCGGAGCCGACCGGTTGTGTCCTCTGAGTGGATGAGCTTCAAGACTAGTAATTTATCTTCACGCTCAACGAGTCTGCTGTTTTCTCCGAGTCCGAGATCTCTCTGTGTTGGTGTGACGGCGCTTCAGCGATCTTCGCGATCTCCCGGGTACCAGCTGCTGCTTCACGCGATCTGGTTTTTTTTCTTCCCAAAGAGCTGTTGTCACGGCTGGTATTCGGTTGAGTGCGCACAGCGGGCTTGCTGTTTCCCCGCTGTGTTGCCGCGTTTATCCCTGTGTGCTTCAGCACAATAAGAGAGCGTTTTCTGTGAAAAGAGCAATACGGGTGAAGATCGCGTCCTTTTCAGGATGACGTTTCACCCGTGTGTTTCTGGATGCGGTCGTTTCCTGTCCTCATTTGACGGCCACGATCACTGTTTTACGTGCCTGGGCTTAAGCATGATGAGACTGCGTTCCTGGGTGGTTTATGTTCTCTCATGAGAGCATGACCACGTCGGCACGTTGTTCGTCTCCCCTTTCTCGTAAAGGCTTGAGCCGCTCAGCGTGCCGTGTGCCGTCGAGCTGCCGGCTGACAGCGCGGGTTGTCACGGCAACCCAGCGCGCGTCATTCGGCGCTCTAGATGCGCGGGCGAGACTCAAGTGCCTCAAACGAGGTGGAGTCCCTTTGCCTATTCCCCGATCTAGTTCCTCTTCTGGTGGCCACCGGAAAAGGGCTACTTTGGTTAATAGCATTGGTGATCTGAGGATTACAGTGAGCGTTCTCCGACGAGACCACCTCCTCGGACCCCTCACTCCTCCAGTGGAATGGAATTTCTGTTCCTTCTCATGAGGGACCAGCTATTTCATTCGGGGCTCCAGGGGAGGATCAGATGTCGATCGCTGCATCGGAGAGAGGGCTGTTACACTCTGGAAATGATGATGCTGAGTCAACTGTAATGGTGTGTGTACTCATGCTGAATCAGATTCAGACTTGACAGCCACACTTCCCGGGCTACTCTGGGGGCGCAGTGCAACACGTAATCGCCTTGCCCCGCCCCCGTGCCTGCCTGGATGTGTGTGAAAACTTTTAGCAGTATGGAAGCATGTTGGTGCTGTGGAAAGCCAAACGTGCCAAAATCTGCAGAAAAAGTTTTTTCCTCTCTCACTACCCTTGGTGGTGGGGTGGCTTTGCTAATGGCAGACCACCTCTTCCCCACTACAAGTCTGTGTGAAGCCAAAACACGCAGTAGGCTACACAAGGGTAGTTCTGAGTCGGGGTTGAGCTGTGCATGCTGTCTCCCTCCACCCTCAAAGTGTATGTTGCCACAATAGCCGCTCATTACAATGCAGTAGAAGGTAAGTCACTAGGAAAGCATGACCTGGTCATCAGATTCCTTAGGGTGCTAGGAGGCTAAATCCGCCTCGTAATCCGCACCCCGTACCCTCTTGGGGCTTAACTCTAGTGCTCAGAGCACTCCAGAGGCCCCCTTCTGAGCCCTTAGCGACGGTTGAGTTAAATATCCTGTCTATGAAGACAGCTCTCCTGTTGGCTTTGGCTTCTTTTAAGAGGGTAGGGGATCTGCAGGCATTTTCAGTCGACGAATCGTGCCTGGAGTTCAGACCGGGTCTTTCTCACGTTGTTCTGAGACCCCGGTTCGGATATGTGCCCAAGGTTCCTACCACTCCGTTTGTAGATCAGGTAGTGAACCTGCAAGCGCTGCCCTCGGAGGAGGCAGAGCCAGCCCTGGCTTTTCTCTGTCCCGTACGTGCTCTACGTTGTTACGTGGACAGAACGCAAAGCTTTAGGACCGAGCAGCTCTTCGTCTGTTACAGAGGCCAGCAGAAGGGGAAGGCTGTCTCCAAGCAGAGGTTAGCCCACTGGCTAGTGGATGCTATCGTCCGGGCTTATGAGTCCCAGGACGTGCCTTGCCCACCTAGGTTGACGGCACGAGAGCGCTCAGAAGAGACTGCTGGCATTATACAGAGCGAGAGCGGCCTCTAGAGGACAAATAACAAACTATCACTGGCTGAGTTGTTTACGTTAACACATGAGGCTGCGCGCAGGACGGAAAGAGAACACGCAGCACAGAGAGCGCTGACACTTCAGATGCGCGTTTAAAACAGACAGCGAAACGGTATGAATACAGAACACTAAAGTACATATTGCCATATCATTATAAAGTAATTAATTTATTGACTAGATGCTGCATTAGCAGAGAAACAACAGCAGTATGTTTGCTGTCGAGTCTGAGAGGAATAACATTAGTAACGGCTACCTCAAGCGATTAAAGCAATGTCACAAAAACACACGCAGACATGACCCAAATGTTTTATGTCGCAATTGTTACCATTGTCACGGGGTGAAGAATCACACGACAAGGGGAGCTCATGCAAAGTGCCCAAGAGTGGATTTATTTACAACATGAAGAAGAAAACAAAGAAAAACCCGGTGAAGTGCGTTGCCTCTTCCTTGTAGTGCAGCGAGTCTGAGCTGTGCTTCTTGGAGGCTGAGCTGTCAACTGCTGCTTTCTGGAGAAAGATAGAGAACAGGCATTAACGTTCTGTCTCGCGCAGAGATCTCTCTCCATTTGACAAAGTCCATGTGGCTTATGTAGCTGTTTGCTTGATGGAGCACGGCTGGGGCCGATCAGCCTGTGACGAGGGCATGCAGGTGTTCCTCATCTGTTTCCAGGGCGACGCTGATGAATCCTCTGGGTGCCCGTCACACCATCTATTTCCATTAGTTTAAATCCGGCTGGTCGCTTTTATGCATTCATTAGCCGGCGAAGTTGCATATTTAAAGCTAGTGACGTGATAGCTTTCTCAACATGTTCATCCAGCCGA